CCAAGTGATTGTAGGCATGGAATGAAGTTAACATTGGGTGCTTTAGGAGCATACCGGCTTGATTGCTAAGTACACAATCAAAAGGACTGATCCAGCTAGTGCTATAGGCTTTGTAAATGTCAAGATAAATTTAAGCAAGTTGTGGTAGCACACACCTGTGATCTCAGTACCCAGAAAGCCAAGGCAGGAGGATGGTAGGTTTGAGGTCAGCCTGGGTTATGTGCCAAGTTTAAGGATAGTCTAGGCGGTAGAATAGAACACTGTGGGAATAATTTTTAAACAGATTCAATGATGATGTTAAGCTCCTAGCTATCAGGGTGACTTCTGAGACTCAAGAAGTCCTTGGACCCTTGTTCATTGAAAGTTTCATAGGTGGAACTGTCTGTACCCTGTCTATAGAGATTCTTCCCTTGTTGGCTCAGGGTGATCCTGATGCCTGGCCAGCTTGAGAAGCTCACAAGTGATATTTCTGCAAAGCCATGACTGAGTTAGTTTTCTGCTAGTACTGCTCACCCTGATGGATTACTCCAAAGAGTAGTTACCCTGAGTGCTGCCTGAAGAGAGAAGAGGATACAGAAGTAACCGAAGGGCCTAGGCAGGGTCACTGTCCTACATGCCCTTGGCCTCTGCTGTCCCAGCCGCCATTTGTATCTAGAATATTCTCTGTGGAATCGTAAGTGCTGGGTTGATTCCTCTGGAGTCTGAGGCTCTTACCTCCTAGGGTAAAATCTGCTTCAAGTACTAGTTCCACAAAGCCCAGACTCCAGCAGGTACCCTGTGATGGAGAGCTTGGTAATTGACCTCTTCTGGCCTACATAGCCCATTTAGAGATACATCAGCCTCCTGCATTCCAGACCTGTTTTCTTGAGGAGACCTTGCACACAGAGGGACTCATCCCTTATCTGAGCATGGGTGCCTGGCATGGTTTTAAATAGCAACTCTGAAAGTGTGAGCTAATTAGAGTAAGAGGGACATGGGAATAAATCCATCATGCAGACCTCCAGTGACCACAGGCTTCCCAGACAGGCTGTGTATCATGTTTCCATGCCTAATTGCCAGCTTCTGATCACATCTTTACAGCCCTAACATCAGGCTGTGCACTCTTTCTGAAGGAAATGGATGTCAGTGGCTGGAGAATTGTTGATGGGCTTATGTTTTATGATGGATAATGTCATCAAGATACAGGAAGGTAGTCTGTGTGGATAGAGGATGTACTCAGGGGCTCTTGTCATTCTCTGCTTGTCTTGGGGGCACTAAATTGTTGCTGTTGTAAAACTTGCCTCCAATGTACTCTGGTGTACTTGGGCAAAGCAATGACAACTCTAGTCATCCAGGATCCCCTGACATGATGTTAGGAAACACACTGCCTCCTCCTTAGTGGTGTTCATTGGTTGCCTTTTTCAGGAGAGAGCATGAGATCATTTCTTCTGACTATAAAGTGATCTTTGGGTAGTACTAAAATGAGATTTAAAAAGTTCATTTACTTTGATTTTATGTATATGGGTGTTTTGATTGCAGGAATGTTTGTGCACCACAAGTGGGCAGTGTCCATGTAGGCCAGCTGAAGGTGTTGGGTCCCCAGTCACTAGAATTACAGACAGTTTTGAGTCACCATGTGAGTATTAGGAATTGAACAAGGATACTTTGAAAGAGCAGCCAATGCTCTTAACTTCCAAGCCATCTCTCCAGCCTAGAATCTCCAGCCACCATCTAGAAAGTAATGTTTTAATAACTCTTATGTATATCCTTGGACATTTTGTCATGACTTATGCAAAATGTGAAATTGCTGATATAGCTTACAACATGGGCTTTTCAGCTTAACCCATCACAAGCACATGCTGTTAACTTTTCATCTTCACACAGTGCTGTTTTGCGCTCCCTGAGTCCTCCCTGCCAAGCACTTAGAATCCTTTGTGTGGTAGTCATTGTGCAAAAGTTAAGTATTTGGCTTCTTTCTCCTGTTGGCTTTTAGAAACATCTGTTAAAGAAAATGGCTTCTGTGTGGTTAGGGAGTAGAGTACCCATAAGACATTTCTACGTAAAGTTTTCGGTTTTGGTTGACACCAGAGTCAGTTTGGTTTTTTTTGCTCTGATATAATACACCAGCCATTCTGCTTTTTTTTTTTATTTTCTTTTTATTTATTCTTTGTGTCCTTCATCTCATGTGTCTCAGTCCCATTCATTTATGCCCTTGCAACCTCCCTTCCAAAAATAAAATAAAATTTAAGAAGACAAAAGAAAAAAATCTCACTGTGGAAGCTATAGTGTGACATACTGAGTCACGCAGTAAACCTTTTATCCATATTCTTTATGTGTAAGTGTTCATTGTAGAGAGTCATTGGCCTGGTTCGAAGCCTCTGGTTTCTGCTACGCCTTTGATACTGAGCCCTCTGTGGGACTCCTCTTGGAAATCCTGTTGTTGCCCTGTGTTGTGAAGATCTGCAGCTTTGGGTCTACAGGACCTGCCCCTTCACATGCTCCAGCAGATCATAAATGGAATAGATGTTGGGGTGGGCCAACTCATAACCCTGGTTCTGGGCCTGGGTAGTTGCAGGCCTGGTCAGCCCACCAGCTCCCCCTTCTTCACCACAACCATTATGTTTAATCTTGTAGCTGAAAGTCTTTTGGCCCCACACAGGCAGCACGATGACTCTTTGGGTAACAGAGGACTGCAGTTCAAACTCAGGACTCCTGTGCTGAGCTCTAGCCACACTTGTTTCTATTTTGTTTAAAACAAAAAAAACATGGGCTGGAGAGATGCTCAGCAGTTTAGATGGAGCCCTTATTGCTTTTGCAGATGACCCAGGTTTGATTCCCAGAACTTCAAGATAACTCACAACCATTCAAAAATCCAGTTCCAGGGCATCCAAAGCTGACTTCTGAGGACACCAGGCACATGCATGGTACACATATATACATGAGGTAAAACATTCATACATGTGAAAAATTTTTTAAAAAGCTATCTCAATTCTTTTGTTTAGGTTAATTTCACATGTATGAGTGCTTTGCCTGTATTTATGGCATTGTATCATGTATGTGCCTGGTGCCAGAGGCAGTCAGAAGAGGGCATTGTATTCCATGGAACTGGAATTATAGGCAGTTACGAGCTGCCATGTGGGTGTCAGGAACTGAACCCTGGTCCTCTACAAGACAAACAAGTGCTTTTAACTCCTGAGCCATCTCTCTAGGCCAAAACACCCTGATTCTTTAAGATTACCTTCTGTCTCCTTAAAAAATTAATTGCACTTCTAATTTTAATATTTAGTGCTATAGTTTTGTTCTTTAACAAGATATTTCTGGAGTCTTATCAAATGCTTGCCTTTCAGGGAGCTGATGCAGTCTAGCTTTTTTTCTTGCAACCCTAGCTCTTTGGGGGGTTTTCAGATGACTCGCTCACTGAATTTCCTAAATGCCTCTGCAAGCAGGAACAGAATGTTACAGCTTATAGCGGTTCATTCATTTAGGTTACTGTGAATTCAGAATTGTGTCTGTTGTCTTCATACATGATAAAGGTGCATTTTTAAGATTGTGGTATGTATGTGTGCATGTGTGCACACATAACATGGCATATGCATGTGAAGGTCTGTAGAAGGAGCTGTGGGCTGCATTCCTGTCGCCCTGCTCCCGGCCACCTGGCTAGCTTATGCCCCGAAATAACAATACACAAATTGTATTTATTTAAACACTGCCTGGCCCATTATATCTAGCCTCTTTTTGGCTAACTCATATCTTGCTTAACCCATATTTAGTAATCTATGTTGCACCATGAGGTGGTGTCTTACCAGGAATATTCTTAACCTGTATCCATCTTGGAGAGGAGAGCTATGGCGACTGCCTGGAGAGGAGAGGCATGGCATCTGAGCTCACTTCCCTTCTTCCCAGCATTTTGTTCTGTCTATTCCACCCACCTAAGGGCTGACCTATCAAATGGGCCAAGGCAGTTTCTTTATTAACCAATGAAATCAACAGATTGACATATGACCTTACCACATCAAAGGTCAGCAGACTGTAGGGTCAGTTCTCTCTTTCCACCTATGGGTCCCAGGCATCAAACTCAGGTTGTCATACTTGGCAGTAAGCACTTTTAACTGCTGAGCCATTTCAACAGCCTCCCTCCAGGGTGCATATTAAAGCAGGTCCAGGGAAGGGCTACTACTTAGCCTCAGGCCATTTTTAGCCATTGTAGTTCAGAGGAAGATGTAAAGTTTTACTGTCTCTGGACTCTACCTGTCCATTTTATTGGCTTCCCTGGATGACCTCTCTCCAGTGGAGATGGAGCAGGAAGGCAACTAAAGAAGTTACAGATGACCCAGGTACTTTATGTTGTCTTCTTTGGAAGCAACTAGAATTTGCTAGCTCGTTCTCAGGAAATATCTAGTATGAACAAATAAACAGCTTAGAGGTAAATAAGTAGAGCTATGAATCCATATTTACATAGTAGTAGGTCACTGATACTGAGCACTTACTGTATGCCAGGTACCAGAGCCTGGTGCACTTAGCACTGAGTGGGCTGTCATGAAGATCAGGTTCCAGCTAAATGACTTCACTCGCACCCCAGATGCAGCCCCATCCCTCTCAATTTTGTCTACCTTGTCCTTTTTGGTTCCACTGTGCTCTGCAGATCTTCTCTGGACCTGAGTTTTTTCATGTGGAGAGACAGGTTGCTGGCCAAGTAGTTGGAGGCTTTTTTCCCTGGTGTCCTCTGAGCCCACACATCTACCTTGAAATATGTAGCGTACCTTCCTCCCTGGCCAATATTTTTCCTGATGGAAGTCACCAGAGCAGTATATAAATTCCTTATAGGAGCCCGCTCCAAAAAGTTCAGCTAGGGTTCCTGGATCCTCGAGGCCAAAGAAAAGTCAGAAGAAACAGAAGACAGGATAGAATCGGGAGGTCTGTCTGGTCATGTCGAAACAGCCAAACAGCCCCGAGTTTATTTCAGAACTTGCTTATATACAAAAGCAGAACAAAGCACAGCACAGATGGCCGGTCAGTATCTAACCACAAGACCATTCCTGTCCTTGAGTGAGCAGCCTCCTCTCCAACATGTGCTTGCTGCCCAGAAGCAGCCTCACTTTCTATCTTGATATTCCTGAGGTTTGTCGTCAGCAGTATATACTAGATAGAGTGTTCTTTTCTCAAAGGCTAAATCAGAAATCTCTCATAGCCCTCAAGGTTATAGGAAAAATCAGAGCAGGCAAGCTTGAACTCAAATGACTTCTTTAAGTCAGAAATGACTCCAGATGGAAACTGAGTCACACATGGGCTCCCACAATTCCCCTCTTTTTATTATATTTTAAGGACCTCTCAGAGTCCCTCAGAAGACTGTGTCTGCCTTGGGGATTCCTTACTGCACCCTAGTCTTATCTGTCATAGGAAAATGGACCTTAGAGATCCATCTCCTATCTTAGGTCGAAAAGAGGCAAAGAAAACTCACCCATCTCTAACTGCAAGTCTCTGGTGTCAAGTTTTTAGGGAAGTGTGCGGAGTTTTACTCCATGAAGCTCCAAGCCCACTTTCCACAGTGAGTTCATAATAAGCTTGAAAACTATAGGTAAACAAATTATGCCCAAAAGAACACAAGCTCCAACAACTGCAGTACTGCTAAGAAGTGAAGTAAATGCTGACATGGTGGAACAGTCTTTTTAAATTGTTCCAAAATATCTTCAACTGCTTTTGATGCATCAAATCCATTTTTGCATTTTTTAATTCCAAAATTCTCTTGATGTAATTTAGCCAACTCTAAGGACTCATTAGAAGCATGCCAAATTCCCTTAAGATGTGCTTTAACTCTTTCCCAACTGATAACACTTTTATTATACACAAAAGATGTAACACAAGTCCACTCATAGTTAGCATGACATTTCAGCTGGACTCTGGTTTTTAAGCTTTGGAGTTCATCCCCTAAGGATTGTACCACATCATACAAGGCGTTCAATTTCTGTCCCATTTTTACATCTATGTCTTCTGTGTCTCCAGTGTCCTAGAAACATTCCTAGATGATTAACAAATCCTGCATTTGAATAGACTGGGACAAAGCCACTGAAGCCACTGCAGTAGTCAGCATAACAACAGGAGCAGAAATTCCTGCTGCAACTAATCCAGCAGCACGTTTCTGTCTACTTAAAGCTTTCTTAATTTGTTCAATTATTTGTGCTGGCACATTGCAAAAGAAGGTTATTTTAACACCAGTTCACAGGTATGAATATCCACTTGAGAAATACAATTAGTCAGAATACAATCAGGGCATGATACATTGATACAATACCATTCATAAAGATTTTTATCTCCCACCAAAAGAACATAAGGCATTTTGACACAAGCCAAACAGTTTTAGGGGGCAAACAGGTTTTGAAGAACTGGATTGTCCTGCTACTTTTCCCATGGCAGCAGCAAGTTTCTAAAGTCTGTGGAAATTTTATACTGGAATACCAAATTCCAGCTGGCAGTTGTTGGTCCCAAGATTCTGCTGTAGTCAAATGATCTTCTTGATTTCTAGACCAGTCAAGAATGTACTGTGATATCACTGTGATGTTGTACTTGAATGGAATAATGCCAATACTTCATCTCCACTACAAAGTTCTATTAGGCCCTCTTGGTTACTTCGTGTATGGAGGAAATCTTTGAAGGGGTGAAGTATCATTTACCCAATGACCTTGAGGAAGCAATCACTTTGTAAAATAAGTACATTGTTTATTATGTCCCGTAATTAATTTTGGAAATACTCCAAGACATACTTCTAAAGCAATATTCTTTGCAAAACATACAGGAATTCCTTTACCATACCCAACATAAGAAAATTTTTGAGCAATTGGGAACTCTTGTGTGGCAGGTCGATCCAGATGTATATCCTTGACTGTAACTACAATCTCGTTTTACTCCCAAACAGCAGGATGTAAAATGGGTGGATCAGGAACATAGGCCTAATTGGTCTCACTCTGGCTTTTCTGGACATCAGGATCAGCATCTTTCTGTTCCTCACACTGTATAATTGAGCTTCAATTTCATCCTATGAAAAAACACAAACATGCCTTCTCCCTATACCAAAACAGTGTCAGGACTCCTTTATAAACCAGTAAATGGATCTTTCCATAGACCTGAGCAAATTATGTGGTGGTGCTTTCATGCCAAAATCTATTCACGGAAGATTGCTCATAGACATCCCATTTACATTTTTAAAATGAAATACATATATGATGACTGTGGGTATAACCCCAACTGCCCATTTTTTTATTTTATATATATATATATTTTAAAGATTTATTTATTTATTATGTATACAGTGTTCTGTCTGTCTGTATAGTTGCTGGCCAGAAGAGGGCACCAGATCTCACTACAGATGGCTGTGAGCCACCATGTGGTTGCTGGGAATTGAACTCAGGATCTCTGGAAGAGCAGTCAGAGCTCTTAACCTCTGAGCCATCTCTCCAGCCCTTTATTGTATTTTTAATTGAGTCTTAAGACTCCCATGTGCTCTTTCAAAATTCCTTGCCCCTGCATAGTACATCTTCTCAAATCCTTGAGATGAGTTTGTTCTGGAGGCTGATATTAGGATTTTAGCATTGTTAGTTTAATGGCACCTAGATAAAATTATTATTTATTCAAGGTATCAATGACCAAATTCCCTGTGATGACTGACAGAGATATTCCCTTTTTATCTAACATTCCAGGCAGGGGAACAGGGACAACATATTCATTTCTGTAATTACTTCCTGCTGGCCTTAGGATGTTTTCTCAGGGCCCTGAAAGGCTAGAATGTTAATCAAAGGCAATGAGGGAACTTAGAAGAATCTGGTTCATTGACAAGCTGAAAAAACAGCATTTACATAGTATGGACTGGTCCACATCAGGATTCAGCAAGTTCATCACTCATAGTCATTGGAGCAGGTTGTTACGGATGTGTTTGTCAGCCAAGTGGAAACCTGGTGAAACAGATACAAACTGGGGACAGAAGTTTATGAATTCATTTGAAATTTGTATACTCATATTCTCAATAATTAAGGAAGTGGGAGAGTCCCGAGACCAGAACAAAATGTGCCAGTAGTTCTTAAGTCCCAACATTGAGATGCTGTGTAGTGCCCATAAGGACAGGTTCTTTGAAAAAGTAGGGGAGACAGTATGCCCGTCCATCCTTCATGGAGAGAGAACCCACAGCAGATGAACTAACTAATTGATGAGTAGACTCAAGAATAGCTTGCTCTAACCAATCTTCAGTTGTAGTGATGAGGCCAGCAGGCCTGCTTTTCATCTCGCACGGCTAGCTTAACACCCGAAATAATAACACACAAATTGTATTCATTCAAACACTGCCTGGCCCATTAGTTCTAGCCTCTTATTGGCTAATTCTCACATCTTGATTAACCCATTTCTAATAATCTGTGTAGCACCATGAGGTGGTGTCTTACCAGGAAAGATTCAGCATGTCTGACCTGGCGGCTGGCTCCATCGCATCTGACCAACTATGATTTCTTTTTCCTAGCATTCTGTTCTGTCTCCTCCACCTATCTAAATCCTGCCCTATCAAAAAGCCAAGGCAGTTTCTTTATTAACCAATGAGAGTAACACATAGACAGATGACCCTCCTCCATCATTGAGTCACATTAGGCACTGTTCTCATATTCTAAAATTGTTACCTCCATGGCTTTGTGAATTATGCTGCTTTGGATAGCCCAGAGCCCATGTTTAAATGAGACCCTCCCCCCAGAGATACTCATTTCTCTTCATCTGCTAAATGTAGCTGCTTTAAAATATCTTCTCAGGCTGTCAAGACTTTATGGGATGAGGTCATGTTCAGATCAATGCCGCTGCAGTGCTTTTTGATTAATGTGAGGTAATGGGCACAGGCTTCTCCTTAGCTCTGTGGTGGAGCAGGATAAAATTATCTGACATGCATACATAATGCATGAGTTCTTGGGGGAGGGGAAAAGAGGGTAGAAGGTGGGGATGCTCAGAAGAGAACAGGGTGTGCAAAGCCCCTGTATTGGAGGATGTTGCAGATAATAGAGGGGCAAAGGATACTGGGATGATGAGCACAAGAGTATACTGGGGACCTTATACTGAGTAGGCTGGGGAGATGCAGCTTGACCAGAGCATCAGATGCTTGCCGGGAAAATGTAGACCAGATGAGTGTGTATACAGAGGGGTGCTATAAAAGGATATATTTTGGAAAGGGGAATATCTGGACCTGGCTGTGCATCTCCCCTCATAGACATACCCAAATGGTGTTTGGCAGCTCATGACTGAGCAGAACATTACTTTTGACCCAGGACACCTTGTGCTGAGTCAGTCCTGAGAGGCTCTGTCAGCCTGGCTCTGGGACAGGGGGTGAGTGTGAATCTGGCCGCCTTGGCCATTCCTGCTGGTATCCAGGGCATGGGGACATATATACTGAGGGTGGGATTTCTTTTAGTTTTTCTGAAGCAGTTTTGATTTTCAAAGGTGCTGGTAAGGTCTAAAAGCCTGGGCCTTTGCCCACCTTCTTGTCTTAAAAACAGGGCTGATTTGTGATTATCTGGAAAATGAACAAAAAGCCCAGAGGGTGGAAAGCTATTTCTGCTTAGAACAGGGATGGCACCTTGCAGAACTGTCCTCTTTAGCTGAGTTGTATCAGGTTTGCTTTATTTGTCAGAGGTTAAATGTGTATACTATGGGAAGCATTTGCTTTCTTGTGTGAAGCTACATCTGCCCAGCCTTGAATGTTACTGCTGCAGACCCTAAGGCTGAGGGGAACAGCCTGGTTTAGGCACATTTCTTGATTTACCTGTTTCAGTGAGAGCATCCCTCTGTTCTGAAAAAAGGACTGCCAGAGCAGACGATAAGAGTGCTGGTGCAGAAGTGCTCCGAGAGGAAGATCTTAATGCCCCGGAGCTAGGAGGCAGCCAGCACCTGGGAGTCACGATGGGAATTGGGCTTGGCTATTGACAGGCCATTTGTCTTAATAATGGCAAGAATGGTTGCAGGCAGGGCCCTTAACCACCAAGGCCTTCATTAGTGTTGAGTTACCCCAGAAATGGTGGCGCAGTTCCCTGGGAGCTATTGCAGCTGGGCCTCTATAGCCCTCTTCAGAAGAATGACTTCCCTGATGGGTCTGCTGCATGCAGAGAGTATGATGTGAACTGATGATGTTCTGTGGTACCGGGGAAGTAACTCAGCAAGAATGTCTGAGTGCCTCACCCTTCCAGTCAGTCAAGCAAGTCCTGTTAAAGGACACCTGTTCCCACTGCTTGAGCTGTCTGCAGAGAAAGACTACAGGTCTGTGTGTGTTCGCTGTGGTGGGGTCACAGGCCCTGGTAATGAGAGTGACTTAGAACCTTACCTGCACCTGGGGGCAGAGTTTCCAACAGAAGGGAACTGGTGTCTAGTTTCTAGCCTACAAGGAGCTGTGAAATTGCTAGTGTCTCTCAGCAAGGCACAGAAACAGCTGAATCACCCTGGGGCAAAGACCACAGTTCAGAGCCATGAGCAGGATGGTGCCCTTACCACACAGAACTGAAGTATTGGCAGGATGCCTGGTAGCCATCTGCAGAAAACCTACAGTTGACTCCATCCATCACACCAACCAATTCCAGACCCGACAGTGTACCCTTATACATATGTATGGCTCTTCAAGTTGCTTGGGGACCAGCTCCAAGCCCTGCATACCATCTATAATGATGGTATGATATCAGTAGCTCAGGAGAAAAATAGCATCATTGACTTAGCCTGTGCAGCTCTTTCCCCCATGGATTCTGTAGCACCACCATCCTGCCCAAATGGTGAGAAAGTCACTTAGCCATCTCAACACGATTCAGTCCCACGTGCACATGCCTTGTCCTGTAGACTTGCATAAGCAGATCTCCTCTTTGGAACCAATTAGGGCATCCCAGAGGATGCCTGTGAGTTACAGACCTGAGGAGGAAGCCCCTGCCAACATGGGCCTTGGTACTTGTAGGTGACCATTGGTGTTTACCATGGCCTCCTGGGTGCAGGCACTGGACTGGACTTAGGTTGAGGCAGGGACAAGCCTACAGGATGTTTAAGGATAAAGGCAAGAGACATGCCCGTAAACCCACTCTGACAGTTCCCTAGGACAGTGGCCAGGGATATGAGACATATAGCCTCATCTGAGTCGGGCTTGGAAAACAGCAGAGCTTAGGCTGAGACCTTGGGGGTCCTGGGAAGGCAGAGAGAGGAGGGTGCGGAAGGCTGTTCTGCCATTGGATAAGCTTGGAAGGGAGCTGCACTGCTGGCAGTGCACTGGATCTCCAGAGAGAGCCAAAGAAAGTGGCAGCAACACACTCAGACTGGGCAGAGTAGTGGGATCCTAAAACACCCCACCTCCCCAGCTACTGTGTGGAGTGCAAGGGACAGGGAGGGGGACAGAGGCAATCCACCTCTGTAGACCAAGTGAGAGGAAGATAGAACAGGCCAGTCAGGGCAATAGGGATGTCTGGCTCCAAGTTTTCTGTGGGGCATTATTTCTTCCTAGTTAAGGACTCTTTTGGGGGTACTTTTTGTCAGTCACACAAGACAAGACAATAGAAAGGTGGGACCTGAATTTGAGTAAACCCTGCTCCATACCTACTGACTCTCCAGTCTACCTTCCAAACCTCTTCCTCTCCAGGAATGGAAGCAGCCTGGAGTTGTGTACTGGGTGCCATTTGTCCTCTTAGCTGGTTCCCATAGAGAAGTGGCTTAAGGGCCTGCACCTCAACAATCAGAAGAGGGCTCTGGATCCCAGGACCTCACCTGCTCCCCACATCTTTCCATGACATGTACCTGGAGCCCCACCTTCTCTCAGCTCTCATGCTGGGGACAGTGACCAGAGTTTTGTGTTTCCTACAGGTCACCTGGATGTCAGCATGGCAGCCACAAACCTGGAGAACCAGCTGCATAGTGCACAGAAGAACCTTCTCTTCCTCCAGCGGGAGCACGCCAGCACACTCAAGGGGCTGCATGCTGAGATCCGGCGGCTGCAACAGCACTGCACAGGTGAGGACAGGCTGATGGCTACAGAAGCAGAGCCACTCCCCATGCTCATATGTGCACGCATGTCATCCTTTGTTGCCTACACCCCTGCAAGTCTTAACCACCACACAACATCATTGAGGCACTAAGCACTCAGCTGCTAGCCTTGTCCTAGAACAGCAGGTGCCTACGGCACTTGGCCACAGCATAGTCTATAGCACACGGGGCAGCTGCTCACTCACTTTGTGCTGTTGGGGTGTATTCGGGGAAGATGAGGAAGGGAACTCTTGAGAGACAAGTCCTTTTGCAGCCCTGATAGTGTTTCTTACATTGATTCTTGGAGCTGCCAGCCCTGCTTCTACAGGGCAGAACTCACTCACTGGGATCTGATGCTGTTTTCAGAACTGATATGAAATACACCATGATAATCTGTGTGTCATGTTTCCTTTCTAGATCTAACATATGAGTTGACCCTCAAAAGTTTTGAACTGACAGGTAAGAGCTCCTCCCACATGTGGGTGCATCTTGTTTTCTTTGTAATGTATTCCCACTGGTCATATGCGTAGGGTCCCTTTGCAGTGAGAGTGGTTTCCCTGAGCTGAGACACCTGTGGGCTGGAGTGATGAGTGCCTGGTTTTGCTTCCCATAGATACATACATCTATTATATACTTTTAAGAATTTTCTTTTCTTTCTTTTTTTTTTAACCTTGAAAGTATATCCTTCTGTAATCCAGATATAAACTTCAATGTGACTTGCCAGAAAGGAGGAAAAGTGAGAACTAAGCAGGAGGCTCTCCTCCCCCAGTCTCCAGAGATTAACCAAGCCCTGGCTCAAAGCCAGAGTGATCCATAGTAGCGGGGTGGGGGCAGTGGGCTTCAGTTCATGGCCCAGATGTCTGGACTATCTTTCTCTGGACTGCAGTCTAGATCTGCTTGCCTAGCGAGAATCGTCAGGGCCCCCCAAAGGTATAGCAAACCAGTGGTGGCTAGAGAACTGACAGAGATGGGGGTCTTCTAGGAGCTCTAAGTCTGTGAGAATGACTTGTTCCTTAGCACAGGGCCAGGACTGAAAGGCATCGAACGTGTTCCTGGGGGAGACCTTTTCCCTAAGCTCTACAAGGGTAGTTTGCCCTTGAGTCCAATCTTTGTTGAGGCCTCAGGTAAATCACTGAGTTTTTGTTACTCTGTCCCATCTCCTTCCTAAGCACTCCTCACATGGTTTTGTCTAAGTGGATGCAGAAGGCCCTGTCAGACTTCGTAGGCCTTGGAGCAGGAGCCTCCATCAAAATCTCTCCATAAAGCAAAGACACCCAAGTCCTCTGCCTGGAGCTCAGGCAGCAACTCAGGACAGAGTTGCAATTTGTTGTGGTTGGTCTATCCCACACCCCCACCATGACAGGCTTGAGAAGGAACTGTCCGTGCTGTGGGAGCCAGGGTGTCTTCACACCTCTCCCTTTTGCCCCATTAGTCTGCAACAGCTCTCAAGCCTCTGTCTCCAGCCCCTTCACCCTCCTTTAGGACACCCTCAGCAGCATTATGGCTTTTGTCAAAGGTGTATGACTCTACTTCAGCAGAGGGGACAATTTGAAAAGCCTCTGGGTGGCTGGGTTTTGTGGGGACATACCCCATCCTCTGGGGTGAAACTAGTGTTCCGTTCAGTGCACATCAAACACAAGCTCAAGAAGGCGGATCAGAAAGAATCCTGATTCTCTCCCCTGAAGGCCATGATGCCTAGGGTGACACAAGCAGACTCATGCAGTACAGCTCAGTGGGGAAGAGCAGGTGGTGTACACCTGACTGTGGACTAGACAAGGAAAGTCAGAAGTCTCTAGAGAGGGTGTGTAGAGAACCAGGGGTACCGGTACCTTCCAGAAGCACCTCTCAGATCTGCACTTGAGAGCAGATATTTGGGTAGCTAGGTCATTTATAGGGAGGGACAGTGTTTGCCTAGGCCTCTTAGGGATAAGAGGCCAAAACAAGCACCTTACTGAGGAGCCCTGGATTTCTTGTTGTGCTGGGACTAGGGCTGTATACCTCTGACAATGTCTGAAATCACCCTGAACCTGTGGCTGTCAAGGACTGTGTCCTTCATCAGCACCAGAGAGTCTACTCTAATGTCCCAGGTCTCTAATGATACAGATCCCAGAAGTTTTGTCTGGCTGGGATGCAGTCAAAGGCCTGAGGTTAAAGACCTACCATGCTTATAGGTAGGGCTGAGAAGGAAGGGCCCACCTGCAGATGTTTGGAGGAAGAGCAATGGATGTCAAGCCCGATTACTGTGCTGGGGCTCTCAATGCACTTGAGAATCTAGTGCTGTAGGGGGTTTTGCATTGTTTTGGTTATGTCTAAAAACATAAGACTCAGATAATACGGCATTATTTCTAAAGCTACCATTTACTGACTTAGTCTCTCTCTCTATACACACACACACACACACACACACACACACACACACACACACACACATATCTGTATTCACCTGCAGTGAGTTTGCAATGTATACTCGCCCACAGGACTTGTAGTAATTCAGAGTCTACCTGAAGCTACTGGCATAGGGAGTACAGTATGCTCTCATCACCCAAAGGCATGGCAGGGCTATCTGCACATTTTGGATGCACAGATCTGGAGTTGAATCAGCTGTAGTGATCATAACACAGAAGAAACAAGGAGACAGGCAGCTCAGATTTCATGTGGGTGCAGAAGGCATGGAACAAATGGACTGCCAGACTAGCAGCTTGTTAGGTCGTGAGGAGTCATTGTTAGTCAAGGGAGAAAGAGGGGAGCAGAGTGGATTGAATGAGACCTGGGAGGTGGTGATACCAGTGGGAAGTAGGGCCAGATGGAGCAGAGAAGAGAGCAGGCTGCCGGCTAGCAGAAAGGGAGCAGAAAGCAAGTGCTAGATTGGGGCAACTGGGATATTAAAGTGGCTGAAGAGCAGGGTCTAGGCCTGAGGGACATGTCTGACATCCTTCACTTGTAGAGCTGGCACTCCAGAGATGCTGACTCCAGCTGACGCTCAAGCTGTTTTAACTTCAGCACCTTCAGATTCTGGAGACGTTCTTTTACGCAGTAAGCCAGGGAACCAAGAGCTGGGAGGGGCCTCAGAGACCCCCTGATTCGCCTTTAGTGGGAACAGGGCCTGCAGGCCATCCTGCACCCCACCTACCATAGGGCTCCTTGCCAGGGCCCTCCACACAGGCCATGAGAATCTGCCTCCTCTACTAGGCTCTGACCTGGCACCTGACTTTTTCCTGCAGGAGACGGCTCTTCCAGAACGACGGAACTGAAGCGGCGCTGTGAAGAGCTGGAGGCCCAGCTGAAGGCCAAGGAGGAAGAAAACCGCAAGTTATTGCAAGAACTGGAGCAGAAGAATGCTGCCATCGCTGTGCTGGAGAACACGGTCCGTGAGAGAGAGAAGAAGTACCTGGAGGAGCTGAAGGTGAAGAGCCACAAGCTGAGCATGCTCTCAGGGGAGTTAGAGCAGCGCGCCAGCACCGTGGCCTACCTCACCTCTCAGCTACATGCAGCCAAGAAGAAACTACTGAGCTCCAGCGGCACCTCTGACGCCAGCCCAGCTGGCAGCCCTGCACTGGCCAGCTACAAGCCCACACCCCCCAAGGACAAGCTGCCTGAGACACCTCGTCGCCGCATGAAGAAGAGCCTGTCGGCCCCACTGCATCCTGAGTTTGAGGAAGTCTACAGGTTCGGAGCTGAGAGCCGCAAACTCCTTCTGCGGGAGCCGGTGGATGCAATGCCAGATCCCACCCCGTTCCTGCTGGCCCGGGAGTCTGCTGAGGTCCAGCTCAAAGAGCGGCCTCTTGTCATACCTCCCATCGCCTCAGACCGTGGCGCCAGTGGGCAACATAGCCCAGCCCGAGACAAGCCACACAAGACCCACGTCGGGGTGGCTCATCGCATCCATCATGCCAGTCCACCACAGCCCCAGCCTGAGGGAGAGACGAGGGCTGTGGACCAAGTGAACACAGGGAAGGTGGTACGGAAGCACTCAGGGACGGACCGAACTGTGTGAAGCCTGCGGCCACCACCGCAGCCATCCATGCACTGTGAGCGCCACGGGGAACCTCGCCCACACCTTCCTCACCCCACTCATGCCAAATGTTTCCTACCGTCGCAGCCTGGCTCCTGGCCCCATAGTGACACAATGGTGTCTCCACTGAAGATATTTACTGGCACTGTGGCCAATGCCTGCATGCCTATAGCTTGCTTCTAGCCCCACGCCATGAGATCTCGGCACACTTCTTAACAAGGACCAGGCCACGGCTGCATCACATGCCACACTCGGAATCAGAACCGCTTGAAGTCAAAGCAAAATAAGGATCCACCCCTCCCAATATCCAGGGCAGCCTATGAGAGCAGAGCAGTAGCTTCTGCTTCTTCCTGGAACTCCTACCTTCCCACAGACCCTTTGCCAAGCAGCTGTAAGCAAGATGACCCTCACCCCTCATGTCACCCCAACCTGAGTGTGTGTTCATAATTTTTTGTTAGTTTCACCCAAGTGTTCAGGATCCAACAAATATTTTTTTTCTAAACCCACCCTTCTTCTCCTCTGTGTCTTTTTGAAGCACCGGGGGACTGTGGAGGAGATGGGAGGGGAGGACTCACGGGTGGGGGTGGGAACACTTGCTGCCTTGAGCTGTTGCTGAGATGTTGGTACTCCTGCATTTCTGGCAGAAGCTGCGTTCTGTCCTGCCCAGGCTCCACACTGCCTCCCTATTCCCAGCTGGCCAGGCCAGCCTCACAGTACCATTCTTCCCCAAGCCACACAAAGGCCTGGGAGAGGAGGAGTCTGGAGGCTGGGCAGGAACTGAACAGTTGACTCAGCAGCCTCAGCCTTCTATGCTCTTGCCAGCAAAGGGCACGTACTGAGCAGAAACGGGTAGAACCCCTCTTCAGTGGCTTAACAGGAAGGAAGAGAGAATGCACTTGCCTTAAAACTTGCACTGGCGTGTGCTGTGTCCAAAGTTCTCAAAAAGAAGATTGAGATGCAAAACCAAGGCTAAAAAGATACTGCTGCCGATTACAGCACCCACATGGTGGCTCACAATTGGCTGTAACTCCAGGGACCCCGACACCTCACGTGTGGTGCACACATATTCAGTCAGGCTCATACATACATATACAGAAATAAAAAGTTAAAAAAAAAAACTAAGTGTGATGGTGCAGATTTGTGACCCCAGCCCTCGGGAGATGGAGATGGGGATCCTCGGGCTTTGGTGAGTCAGCAAGCTCCAGAATAGTAAGACCTTATCTCAAGAACAAATAAGGCAAAAACCTGAGGAATAAACAAGATTGAGGTGCACCCACACACATGCATCCACACACCAAAACCCATTGCAAAACAAGGTTCATTTAATAGAAAAGTATGTGTAGATGGCCACTTTGAAATGCAAGAAAAATCAGCATCAAACACCCTCCCACCAGCATTCCAGCTGCCCCTTGGTAAACTCCCTGCAATGACGTCAGCACCTGTGTGCCAGGCATAGTAGCTCCGTGTAGTCCTCCACATGCTGATGCTGGGGTTAATCTGAGTTCAGGGTGAGGCACACCCCCTGGAGCACCCAGTGTGAGATGTGCTTCGTGGTAAAGAGGTCAGCTTCGAACACTAGGCCGACACCCATGGCATTTCTCCTCATGGAGGTGGTATAGACGGGGGTCCGGAAGGTGTTCTGCAAAGGAGTGGCAGGGGACATCCTCAGGGTTGGAGGCATCAGCTCATAACTAGATGGGATTCAGCCTGAGAACTTCACATGAGCAGTGCCAGGCTAACATCGGATACCATGGGGTGGCTGGGCAAACGCTGCCTAGTTCCCAGCCAGCCAGAGTAGAAGGCACCTGCTGTTCACACTGGATGGAGCCACTTTCTGACTCAAATAGTTATGTCCAGAATCTCCTAAGAAGGGAGTTTCCCCGGGGTCTCTACCACAGGCTCTAAGCTTGGACTTGACCCCAGGGATTATGGGCACCCACATGCATGTATACTGGAATGTTTTCATGCCCTAGCCTGCCCTGAGAGGAGGGACGGCACCATGGGGTCAGGGAGGTAACTGTCACCTGTAGCTTCAGACGGTGAGCTTCAATGGGGATGATCTTCAGGATGGGCAGGTCCACAACCAGCACCTTGGGCTTACTCTTGATAAGACACCCACTCTCTATATCCCAGTCAGCGCCCTCCAGGTAGAGCCCTGAAACAAAGCACCCTGGGGGTGACAAAAAGATGGCATCTGTGTTCTATTGTGTGGCAGCTCTCTTCTCACAGGTGTGCACAGAGGAAAAGTACAAATGCTACTGGGGTGGGGCGCTCAACTCTGCCCTACTTCCACATAAAGTGGATAGGATAGGAGTGGATAGCTCCTATCCTATCCACTGGATAGGAGATGCAGGGCTCCAAGGAAGTGGTCCAGGCAGCACTTGTCTTCCTGGACTCTGGCTTCAGGGCACCCAGCAATCCCAGCATCCTCTGAACAAAAGGGGAAGTCCAAGAGAAGTGTGGTCTCTAGCACACAGAAACCCCAAAAAGTGAGAATGTCTACACTTATTGGTGGTCTAGTGATTACCATTCAGCGCTCTCACCAAAGGCAAAAGTCGTCCACCTGCCCCACAGAGTGGCAGCTGGATGCTCACCAGTGAGACCTATCTGAGGGCCCCTGAGACTTGCCCATTAATCCACTCTTCTTAAATAGGCACAAAGGGGCTTCTGCTCTTCACAGTTCAGTGAACTCTGGCTAGGGAAACAGTTTCCAACTAGCGCCTGCACAGAATGCTGGCATCTAGCAGCTGTGGCCCATGGACAAAAGATAGGGATGAATGCAGCTCAGCACAATTGCAGACCTGCTTAAAACACTAGGAGGGGTTTGGTTTCGTGATTTTGATAGGTTATACAGCTCTCAAGTGGGAACTTTGTAGCTGACAGTGTCAGGTCACAATGTCAAAAGCTTGAATATGCCTGACCAAAGCTCTGGGCTAGCTTATGTGCTTTTTTGGTCCCTACTCGTCTGCCCTTCAGGGGAAGCCGCTCAGTTATCTCTGAGAACTTAATCTAGTCGCCCACTTGCCACAAACTAGCATGGTCAGGCCTCCCTGCCATCCACCCTGCGACTCGGCTAGTCTCCATCAGGAAACTCTGCTCTCTGATATGCCACAGCAGCAACATAGGATCCACATGGTGCTCATCCCGTTGAGCTAGGTGACGGTTCTGAGAGGGAAGCCCCAGTTGGAGAGCCGGGTATGTGACCCTCGCTGTACCTTGCCCTGCTCGCTCATTCACTTCATCAGCGTCCTGGAACTTGGTCACTTGTGTGAACAAGGTGGACCGGTCCAGCGGCCAGCCATTTCTCCGGCACGTGGCCTGTACCAGTGCTGTGAGGTAGGACTCTGGGATGTGCAGCCCTGAGAGCCACATCACACTAGGCTCACTCTCGGTGACCTGGTAGGGAAGGTGGGCAGGACAGGAACCTGGGCTGTGACACCAGCTTCAAAGCTGATTAAGAAAACAAAAGCCTGGTTTTCCATGGTGACAAATGTTGGCATTAGGTCAGTTATCTGCCCACAGGGGAAAAGGTGACCACCAAACTCCCGGTGGACCAAAACTTTAGGGAAACACCAAAGTCATTAAAGTGCTTGCTACATAGATGTCCCCACTTGATACTGAGAACCCCCATTAAAGACATCAGGTGTGGTAGCACATGCTTGCAATCCTGTGCTGAGGCAGTAGAGAAAGATCTTTGAGGTTTCCCGAACAACCAGCCTAGCCAAGTCAGTGAATCCCAGGTCCTAAAGAGAAACCCTGTCTAAACAGTCATGGCCCATTAGGAATAACACTCAAGGTTCGTGTCTGGCCTCTCTCCACATGTGCACACACCTGCATACATACAGATGGACACAAACCTACAAAAGGACCACACCTAACCTCTCGCTGTTTTCTCAAGTGGAGAATTGCAAAGCCCAGATGCTACCAAAAAAAAAAAAATAGTTTTGGCTGCATTCATACTGAAAAACCTTCCTATAGAAACACACACACCATCATCATCCAAGTAAAAGGCTCCCAGCAGGGAGGAGTCCATGCATCACCAGCAGACCAAGAGTTACTGTCTTTCATATACAAAGAGCTCTTAGAAACCAATAAAAAGGGCTAAGGACACAGATCAGTGGACAAAGCACTTACCACACAGTCCTGAAGACCTGGATTTGGATCCCCAGGAAGTACATAAAGCTGGGGTGGTGCCACCCTTCTAATCTTAGTGTCCCCATAGTGAGATGGGAGACAGGCAAGAGGATGACCAGAGACTTGCAGGCCAGCTAGCTTGTACTGCCTAGCAGTGAACAAGGGACCCTGTCTCAAGATGGAAAGCAAGGGCTGACTCCCACATATGAACCCAAATGCATGCATTCACACACACAGACTTCATACATACATTTTAAAAAAAGTCAATGTAAAAAGATGGAGTCTTCTCTTGAAACAGACATGACGGTTCACAGAAAATATAAATAATCTTTAAGTATATGAAACACCCTCCACTTCACCTTCATTAAAGAAACGGCAGGGCTGGAGAGATGGCTCGGTGGTTAAGAGCACTGAGTGCTCTTCCAGAGAACCAAGATTCAATTCCCAGCACCCACATGGCAGCTCATAACTGTAACTCCAAGATCTGACATTCTCACACAGACATACACGCAGGCAAAATGCCAGTGCACATAAAAATAAATTATTTTAAAAAAGAAAAGAAGCCAGGCCATGGTGGCGCACGCCTTTAATCCCCGCACTTGGGAGGCAGAGGCAGGGGGATCTCTGTGAGTTTGAGACCAGCCTGGTCTACAAGAGCTAGTTCCAGGACAGGCTCCAAAGCTACAGAGAAACCCTGTCTCAAAAAAA